CGTCGTACCGTTACAGCGCGTCGTACCGTTACAGCGCGTCGTACCGTTACAGCGCGTCGTACCGTTACAGCGCGTCGTACCGTTAAAGCGCGTCGTACCGTTACAGCGCGTCGTACCGTTACAGCGCGTCGTACCGTTACAGCGCGTCGTACCGTTACAGCGCGTCGTACCGTTACAGCGCGTCGTACCGTTACAGCGCGTCGTACCGTTACAGCGCGTCGTACCGTTACAGCGTGTCGTACCGTTACAGCGCGTCGTACCGTTACAGCGCGTCGTACCGTTACAGCGCGTCGTACCGTTAAAGCGCGTCGTACCGTTACAGCGCGTCGTACCGTTAAAGCGCGTCGTACCGTTAAAGCGCGTCGTACCGTTAAAGCGCGTCGTACCGTTAAAGCGCGTCGTACCGTTACAGCGCGTCGTACCGTTACAGCGTGTCGTACCGTTAAAGCGCGTCGTACCGTTACAGCGCGTCGTACCGTTAAAGCGCGTCGTACCGTTAAAGCGCGTCGTACCGTTACAGCGTGTCGTACCGTTAAAGCGCGTCGTACCGTTACAGCGTGTCGTACCGTTAAAGCGCGTCGTACCGTTACAGCGCGTCGTACCGTTAAAGCGCGTCGTACCGTTAAAGCGCGTCGTACCGTTAAAGCGCGTCGTACCGTTACAGCGTGTCGTTCCGTTACAGCGCGTCGTACCGTTAAAGCGCGTCGTACCGTTACAGCGCGTCGTTCCGTTACAGCGTGTCGTACCGTTACAGCGCGTCGTACCGTTAAAGCGCGTCGTACCGTTACAGCGTGTCGTACCGTTAAAGCGCGTCGTACCGTTACAGCGTGTCGTACCGTTAAAGCGCGTCGTACCGTTACAGCGCGTCGTACCGTTACAGCGTGTCGTACCGTTAAAGCGCGTCGTACCGTTACAGCGCGTCGTACCGTTAAAGCGCGTCGTACCGTTACAGCGCGTCGTACCGTTAAAGCGCGTCGTACCGTTACAGCGCGTCGTACCGTTACAGCGTGTCGTACCGTTACAGCGCGTCGTACCGTTAAAGCGCGTCGTACCCTTCTCGTGCTTAATGATGTATGCTGATCGGCGATGCCGTCCCGTCATCCATCCTGGTAGTAGTAGTACCAGACTATCATTACCTAATACCTCGTGTCTCTTGCAAGGTCGGAGTTCGATATCCGATCTTGGGAGTGTTGGAGGGGCAGTGTTCTCTTCTACAAGTTCCTTGGGCTCATTGCCTTGTCCAAGTGGTATCTATAGTCACTTTGACACCTTCTCATCAAGACCTTACTTCTTGTTGTGGCTAAAATTATTTTTTCTTTTCAGTTTATTATTTATTTTAATTAAATGTTGAATCAACGTTTATAATTGGGGAGAAATAAGTTGGAAAACACAGAATGGGCAATAGAGCACACATTTCAGACTTCTTAGAACTCGTTGTTTGTAGTAATAGGACCCAATTCTACCTAAAATTGGGCACGTGGGTCGTCGCAAAGCACCATACTACATGGAGGGTTGTATATACAATCTCTTATAATAATCACACTCCCATACAGTATATACACTCACTCCCCAAGTTTGTATTTTTAATTTACGTTAACATATAGAACAATATATATTATATTACATTATGTAGTGAGGCAAATTAATGTGTGGAGGTCTACAGTAGTCCTCGACCCGTCTCCCTTCACTCCGCTCACGAAGCTCCTGAGCTCAACTGGGCTCTTGTCACACATCTGCATGTGGCGTCTAACTAGCATATATTATTATATATGATTATATAATTGGTATATAGGTAGGATTATTCCTCAGTCTTACAATAAAGCTGAAAATTACAAGACTCCCTTGCTTGGTCCACCGATAACCTTCAACCACATCTAAGTCCAGTCTCCAATTTTTGAACAATTTGCAATTCATTCACACACCCTTTACCAACTGAGGCTAAGATCCCTACCTCTCCACCTCGCCCTGGCGACCAGAGGTGTATCTCTCGGTCAGGGAAAGCCTCGACCCCCTGTTATCGACCAGGTCCGCCCCTGGACACTAGGGGTTGTGTGGTTACCCAGAGACGGAATAACAATACCACTGCCACAAGAAGACAACCAAGACACAATCCACCATTATAATCCCACTGAAGATCCCTTGTGAAGGATACGAACTCTCTTTCCGATCCTCGAGATTAGATTCTCCCTGAACATTAGACTCATACGCTTGTCGCTGATTCCTGAGGGTGAGGTAGTTGAATCAAGAGTTGCATTTCCCGTAGAGTTCTGTAGATAAATTTGCCGAGTGCAGGTAATATGTATGGATACCTTCACACATAAATATAACCCATCATAATGAGACAGACATTGCAGCCAAATTAGCGTGTTACAAGTCTGAAGTTGAATTAGATGTAGGTATCCCCATCTCTGCTGTCAAAACTGTATTGGTCCAAACATTCAGATCTGATAGGAAAGAACTTACTGACTCCCAACGACCTGAAAGTACTAGTATAAAAAGCTATGATTTGTTCAGATCTGAAACCTACATCTATGGACAGCACAAAACGTCCACTAGACTGTGCGACACAGTGGTTGCAAGGATCAGGTTGGGTTACCGTTACCTGTGGCAGGTGGCTGCAGGTGACGGGTCTCCCAATCCTGAGCACTCCAGTTGCAAACTCTGTGAGCAGGAACTACGGCATGATCTCCCGCACTACATCACTGAATGCCCAGTTATTAGACCTTTCAGACCAGTTGGCATGAGGTACCTGGAGCTTTGCAATTACTTTATTCACTCTCGTATTCTTGAAGATATCCTCACAGTATACCCAAAATTTGCCAGTGCAGGCTATTAAACACATGGCTCTGTATGACTAACCATCCTGCGAGATGGGGACTTGTATTACCACTGCTACCTTATTCAATCTTGTGTTGTTGATATCCTCAAAATGCATCCGGAGTCTGCCAGTGCAGACCGCTTATCACATGCCTCTGTATGACTAACCATCCTGTGTGATGGGGATTTTATAGCATCACCTAGTTAGCTTTTTTGACACACTGTACTCCACTTCATATTGTCTAGGGTAGCTGCACTAATGCAGATGTACCTCATAACTTAATAAAAAAAAAAAAAAAAAAAAAAAAGTGCCGGTACTGACAATATCCTTATAATGCCCCCAGATCATGCTCAGTGCAGGCTACTGACTACATGCCTGTGTATTACTAAACATCCTGTGTGATGGGGACATTTAGCACCACGAAGCTGAGTCTTGGCACACTCTGTACTCCCCTTCAGATAGTCCTGGGAAGCTGCACAAATGTATATGTACCTAACTCACTAGCACAATAACAATCACCGTAGTCACTATATATCCCTCCAGCAAGTCGTGAAAACCGTATTTCGCAATTTACAGTTATTCATAAACACTCGCATTACTTTTATAGCTCTATATCACGTATACTCACTCGTTATTAATGGATATATATATATATATACACCATCTTCACTATTTATGGCACTGTAACTCAGACATGGGTATGCACCGTGCTGCTCCATAACTTGCTGTACCACGCCTGTAAAATACAACGGGGAATTGTACCATTAAGGAGCAACTTCAACAAGAGCTGATAGTCGTACTTCTCATCACTCTCAGCTAGCAGTATTGCGCACGACTTAACTTTCCACTTTACGGTCTTACAGTAACTTCATGAGACCACTTTACGGTCTTACAGTAACTTCATGAGACCACTTTACGGTCTCACAGTAACTTAGTGATGTCACTTTACGGTGTCACAGTAACTTAATGAGATCTCTTTACGGTCTCACAGTAACTTAGTGATGTCACTTTACGGTGTCACAGTTACTTAATGAGATCACTTTACGGTCTCACAGTAACTTCATGAGACCACTTTACGGTCTTACAGTAACGTAATGAGATCACTTTACGGTCTTACAGTAACTTCATGAGACCACTTTACGGTCTTACAGTAACTTAGTGATGTCACTTTACGGTTTCACAGTAACTTAATGAGATCTCTTTACGGTCTCACAGTAACTTAGTGATGTCACTTTACGGTGTCACAGTTACTTAATGAGATCACTTTAAGGTCTCACAGTAACTTAATGATGTCACTTTACGGTTTCACAGTAACTTAATGAGATCACTTTACGGTCTCACAGTAACTTAATGAGATCACTTTACGGTCTCACAATAACCTAGTGATGACACTTTTCGATCACACACTAATTTTAGTAAACATCACAAGCTATTCACAACTTCATATATACATCACAAGCTACACAACTCCAAGTACACAACACAATCTATACAGCTACAAGTGTACAACACAAGCTGTATACAAACTACAAATATGCAACACAAGCTCCACTCATCCTCCTGTTTTGATAATACTTTGTGTAAGTGTGTGTTCCATGGTCCCAGTATGTGGAGCCCCAGTGTGTGGAGCCCCAGTGTGTGGAGCCCCAGTGTGTGGAGCCCCAGTGTGTGGAGCCCCAGTGTGTGGAGCCCCAGTGTGTGGAGCCCCAGTGTGTGGAGCCCCAGTGTGTGGAGCCCCAGTGTGTGGAGCCCCAGTGTGTGGAGCCCCAGTGAGCCACTTTCTTGTACTATTTCGTTATAAAAGTCAGGGGAAAGGAAACTTAAGTTAACTTAAGTTTCCTGTTTAACAGTTTAACTTACTGTTTAAGTAAGTTCTTAAATATTCCTGGGTCTAGTATAGCATATATGTGTACTATATTAGGCCTCGGAGAGCGTGATGTAGGCCTACGATGATTAAATTAGGTTTTATTAGCCACATATAAAAGCTTTTCCAGTCAGTCCTAATTCAGTACTACAAAAGTGTACTATCTGTTGGTCCATCATGACGCGTTTGTGCTTTCGACCCCATCGTTACTGTAAGTACTTTCATGTTTTGTCCAGAGTGCAAGTCCCAGAGTGCAAGCCCAGAGTGCAAGTCTAGAGTGCAAGTCCTGAGTGCAAGTCCCAGAGTGCAAGTCCCAGAATGCCAGTCCCAGAGTGCAAGTCCCAGAGTGCATGTCCCAGAGTGCAAGTCCCAGAGTGCATGTCCCAGAGTGCAAGTCCCAGAGTGCAAGTCTCAGAGTGCAAGTCCCAGAATGCCAGTCCCAGAGTGCAAGTCTCAGAGTGCAAGTCCCAGTGTGCAAGACCCAGAGTGCAAATCCCAGAGTGCAAGACCCAGAGTGCATGTCCCAGAGTGCAAATCCCAGAGTGCAAGACCCAGAGTGCATGTCCCAGAGTGCAAATCCCAGAGTGCAAGACCCAGAGTGCATGTCCCAGAGTGCAAGTCCCAGAGTGCATGTCCCAGAGCAAAAGCTGCGCCAGTATTCAACATGAGATACACAGCTTGAACTACAAATCCATGTGTAAGCTGCCCGGGTGTATGACATCAACTACTATTCAAGGAATACAACGCAAGCCTTGCAGCTGCAGGTATGCCTCACCTGCGGTGCATTGTGTATGCATACCTGCTGTATATCCATGTATACAATACGCATCTCTGGCAGAACGAAGCACGCCCCATAAAAATGGACTCGCTTTGCTGAATGCGGAAACAGTGAGTGTGTCGAGTGTTGTACTGTCAGGTTGTGGTTGTTGCTGGTTGTTGTTGTTGGTTGCTGTTGTTGTAGTGAGCTGTTGTTGTTGTTGTATTCTCCCTCTCCCCACATCCTGACACTCACCCACACATGCTGACACTCACCCACACATGCTGACACTCACCCACACATACTGACGCTCACCCACACATGCTGACACTCACCCACACATGCTGACGCTCACCCCACACATGCTGACACTCACCCACACATACTGACACTCACCCACACATGCTGACGCTCACCTCACACATACTGACGCTCACCCACACATGCTGATGCTCACCCCACACATGCTGACGCTCACCCCACACATGCTGACACACACCCACACATGCTGACGCTCACCCACACATGCTGACGCTCACCCCACACATGCTGACGCTCACCCACACATGCTGACGCTCACCCCACACATGCTGACACACACCCACACATGCTGACGCTCACCCACACATGCTGACGCTCACCCCACACATGCTGACGCTCACCCACACATGCTGACACTCACCTCACACATACTGACGCTCACCCACACATGCTGACGCTCACCCCACACATGCTGACGCTCACCCCACACACGCTGACACTCACCCATACATGCTGACGCTCACCCACACATGCTGACGCTCACCCACACATGCTGACGCTCACCCACACATGCTGACGCTCATCCACACATGCTGACGCTCACCCCACACATGCTGACACTCACCCACACATCCTGACGCTCACCAACACATCCTGACGCTCACCCAAACATCCTGACACTCACCCACACATGCTAACACTCACCCACACATGCTGACGCTCACCCACACATGCTGACGCTCATCCACACATGCTGACGCTCACCCCACACATGCTGACACTCACCCACACATGCTGACGCTCACCCACACATGCTGACGCTCACCCCACACATGCTGACACACACCCACACATGCTGACGCTCACCCACACATGCTGACGCTCACCCACACATCCTGACACTCACCCACACATGCTAACACTCACCCACACATGCTGACACTCTCCCACACATCCTGACGCTCACCCACACATCCTGACACTCACCCACACATGCTGACACTCACCCACACATGATGACACACACCCACACATCCTGACGCTCACCCACACATCCTGACGCTCACCCACACATCCTGACACTCACCTACTCATGCTAACACTCACCCACACATGCTGACGCTCACCCACACATGCTGACGCTCACCCACACATGCTGACACTCACCCACACATGCTGACACCCACCCACACATCCTGACACTCACCCACACATCCTGACACTCACCCACACATCCTGACGCTCACCCACACATGCTGACACTCACCCACACATGCTGACGCTCACCCACACATGCTGACGCTCACCCACACATGCTGACACTCACCCACACATGCTGACACTCACCCACACATGCTGACACACACCCACACATCCTGACGCTCACCCACACATGCTGACACTCACCCACACATCCTGACACTCACCCACACATCCTGACGCTCACCCACACATGCTGACACTCACCCACACATGCTGACACTCACCCACACATGCTGACACTCACCCACACATCCTGACGCTCACCCACACATGCTGACACTCACCCACACATCCTGACGCTCACCCACCCATCCTGACACTCACCAACACATCCTGACACTCACCCACACATCCTGACACTCACCCACAAATCCTGACACTCACCCACACATGCTGACACTCACCCACACATGCTGACACACACCCACACATCCTGACGCTCACCCACACATGCTGACACTCACCCATACATCCTGACGCTCACTCACCCATCCTGACACTCACCAACACATCCTGACACTCACCCACACATCCTGACACTCCCCCACACATCCTGACGCTCACCCACACATCCCGACGCTCACCCACACATGCTGACACTCACCCACACATCCTGACACTCACCCACACATGCTGACAATCACCAACACATCCTGACAGTCACCCAAACATCCTGACACTCACCCACACATGCTGACGCTCACCCACACATGCTGACGCTCACCCACACATGCTGACACTCACCCACACATGCTGACGCTCATCCACACATCCTGACACTCACCCACACATGCTGACGCTCACCCACACATGGTGACACTCACCCACACATGCTGACACTCACCTACAAATGCTGACACACACCCACTCATCCTGACACTCACCCACAAATGCTGACGCACACCCACAAATGCTGACACTCACCCACACATGCTGACACTCACCCACAAATACTGACACTCACCCACACATCCTGACGCTAACCCCACATATGCTGACACTCACTAATACATCCTGACACTCACCCACACATGCTGACGATCACCCACACATCCTGACACTCACCCACACATGCTGACACTCACCCACACGTGCTGACGCTCACCCCACACATGCTGACACTCATCCACACATGCTTACACTCACCCACACATCCTGACACTCACCGCCACATCCTGACACTCACCCACACATGCTGACGCTCACCCACACCTGCTGACGCTCACCCACACATGCTGACGCTCACCCACACATCCTGACACTCACCCACACATGCTGACACTCACTCACACACGCTGACGCTCACCCACACATGCTGACGCTCACCCACACATCCTGACACTCACCCACACATGCTGACGCTCACCCACACATCCTGACTCTCACCCACACATACTGGCACTCACTCACATATGCTGACGCTCACCTACACATGCTGACACTCACCCACACACCCTGACACTCACCCACACATGCTGACGCTCACCCCACACATCCTGACACTCACCCACACATGCTGACACTCACCCACACATGCTGACGCTCACCCCATACATCCTGACACTCACCCACACATGCTGACACTCACCCACACATGCTGACGCTCAGCCCATACATCCTGACGCTCACCCCCACACATGCTGACGCTCACCCACACATCCTGACTCTCACCCACACATACTGGCACTCACTCACATATGCTGACGCTCACCCACACACCCTGACACTCACCCACACATGCTGACGCTCATCCACACATCCTGACACTCACCCACACATGCTGACGCTCACCCCACACATGCTGACGCTCACCCCATACATCCTGACGCTCACCCCACACATGCTGACATTAACCACACATGCTGACGCTCACCCCACACATGCTGGCACTCATCCACACATGCTGACGCTCACCCCACACAACCTGACACTCACCCACACATGCTGACGCTTACCCACACATCCTGACACTCACCCACACATACTGGCACTCACTCACATATGCTGACGCTCACCCACACACCCTGACACTCACCCACACATGCTGACGCTCACACACACACCCTGACACTCACCCACACATGCTGACGCTCACCCCACACATCCTGACACTCACCCACACATGCTGACACTCACCCACACATGCTGACGCTCACCCCACACATCCTGACGCTCACCCTACACATGCTGACGCTCACCCACACATCCTGACTCTCACCCACACATACTGGCACTCACTCACATATGCTGACACTCACCCACACACCCTGACACTCACCCACACATGCTGACGCTCATCCACACATCCTGACACTCACCCACACATGCTGACACTCACCCACACATGCTGACGCTCACCCCACACATCCTGACGCTCACCCCACACATGCTGACACTCACCACACATGCTGACGCTCACCCCACACATGCTGACACTCATCCACACATGCTGACGCTCACCCCACACAAACTGACACTCATCCACACATGCTGACGCTTACCCACACATCCTGACACTCACCCACACATGTTGACACTCACCCACACATGCTGACGCTCACCCCACACATCCTGACGCTCACCCCACACATGCTGACACTCACCCACACATGCTGACACTCACCTCACACATCTTGACACTTACCCACACATGCTGACACTCACCCCACACAACCTGACACTCACCCACACATGCTGACACTCACCCACACATGCTGACACTCACCCCACACATGCAGACACTCACCCACACATGTTGACACTCACCCCACACATGCTGACACTCATCCACTCATGCTGACACTCACCCATACATCCTGACACTAACCCCACACATGCTGACACTCACCCACAAATCCTGACACTCACCCCACACATGCTGACACTCACCCCACACATGCATACACTCACCCCACACATGCTGACACTCACCCACACATGTTGACTCTCGCCCACACATGCTGACACTCACCCACACATGCTGACACACACCCACACATCCTGACGCTCACCCACACATGCTGACACTCACCCACATATCCTGACACTCACCCACACATCCTGACGCTCACCCACACATGCTGACACTCACCCACACATGCTGACACTCACCCACACATGCTGACACACACCCACACATCCTGACGCTCACCCACACATGCTGACACTCACCCATACATCCTGACGCTCACTCACCCATCCTGACACTCACCAACGCATCCTGACACTCACCCACATATCCTGACACTCACCCACACATCCTGACACTCACCCACACATGCTGACACTCACCCACACATGCTGACACACACCCACACATCCTGACGATCATCCACACATGCTGACACTCACCCATACATCCTGACGCTCACTCACCCATCCTGACACTCACCAACACATCCTGACACTCACCCACACATCCTGACACTCCCCCACACATCCTGACGCTCACCCACACATCCTGACGCTCACCCACACATGCTG